GATCTGCGCGCCGGCCACGAGTTTAATTGCATCGCGATCCCCGATGCGTTTAGTCAGCCGCACGTTCGCACTGAGAAGGAAGATTTTGTTGGGTTAATCTTTTCGTTACGGCGGCCTTGCTCGGGAATGCGCTACCACGACACGGGGGGCAACCTCAACGTGGACGTACTTAAATTTCACCGCGGGGAGAACCTAACTTTTAACGCCTAATGGCGTCAAATGTAAATTATTCGTAATATAAATTATCGATTGTTCATTCAACAGACGTTGGCTGACTATAGTCACCGTTAGTAGCGAGAAGGTTAACAAAGTAAACCAGTAACAGTAACAAATGGTTGGTTAATGTGGCATAACAAATGACTCCGTTGTGGTGACAAAAGATTTGTTGCTCTGACCAATAATTTTATAATGGAAACAAATGATATGGTTACGCCAATCCAGTAATCATAAATTTTTTATTTGTTGGCAATACGGAATATAGGACAGGGTGTCCCATTTAAGCTGATAAATCGTAATATCTGAAAAACTACATGTCGGATCAAAAAAAGTGGGTAGTGAAATTTGTTCGTCTCGAAGGGGGACATCCAATGATATCAAACTCGACGTCCCATCCCACTCCCGGGGGGTGGGGGTGGGGGGGGCAACTTTGAAATCTTAAATGGGAACCTCCATTTTTTATTGCAGATTCGGATTCTACGCCACAAAATACGTAAGTTTCGTCCGAAACTTTTTTTTATTCGTGATAGATGGCGCTGTAATCGCAAAAAATTAGATTTTCTGCAATTCTCCAGAAATGATCATTGAATTGAAAAATAAAAAAATACTTGTTCAATATTTTTAAAAATATTTTTAAAAAACATAATAACAATTATTCCCCCTCATCCCCTCGGGGTAGAGTGGGTGGTAACGTTCAAATCTCAAATGAGAACCCATATTTTTCATTGCAGAATTAGATTTTACGTGAAGTTTTTATGGAAACATGTTTTATGGAAAATTGTTTCCATAAAAACTTCACGTAATATCTAATTCTGCAATGAAAAATGTGGATTCTCATTTGAGATTTGAACGTTACCACTTCCCCTATCCCGAGGGAATGGGGGGGAATAACAGTTATTATATTTTTTAAAAATATTTTTAAAAATATTGAACAGGTATTTTTTTATTTTTCAATCCAATGATCATTTCTGGAGAATTGCAGAAAATCTAATTTTTTGTGATTACAGCGCCATCTATCACGAATCAAAAAAAAAGTTTCGGACGAAACTTACGTATTTTGTGACGTAGAATCCGAATCTGCAATAAAAAATGGAGGTTCCCATTTAAGATTTCAAAGTTGCCCCCCACCCCCACCCCCCGGGAGTGGGGTGGGAGGTCGAGTTTGATATCATTGGATGTCCCCCTTCGAGACGAACAAATTTCATTACTCACTTTTTTTGATCCGACATGTAGTTTTCCAGATATTACGATTTGTCAGGTTAAATGGGACACCCCGTATAAGCAAACGTTAAAAATTATGTATAAGCAAATCGGTTATATTAATTCTTGCTCACCAACGTACAATATATAGCAAAATATGCATAATACTTGATGAAACCACACATGCAATGCTACACGCGCGTATTATACTCACCAGATAATTCAAATATAACTCTATCATATCCAATCAAACATTGATAGAGAAGGGTTAACGAAATAATAATTCTTGTGTGTGTTTTACAGGAATTCAGGGAAAGAATAGAGCAACGCATTATTACATTAATCTTTATTTTTAGCACGACACATTATATAAAATTAATAAACTATTAGATGAGATTGAGTAAAGTTATGGAGGATATACATATGAAGGATCGTACTATAAAAGTACATTATTAATAAAAAAATTTTTTAAAGTGGTTCGTAGCTTAAGAATCTTTAAGGCATATATGTGTACATAACATAAGTTTTTACAAGTGAAACTTATAACTATAATAAAACTCTACAACACTATTCTACTGTACAAAAGAAGTGATATATTAGAACAGTAGCGCCAATTGAGAAACCTAACATATATATGTGATTATTGTATACTTAATAATTTTAGAAATCTCAAATTCTAATTATTTCCTTTTTTACGATTTATATTATGTACATAACATAAGTTTTTACAAATAAAACTTATCAAATTATTTTTCTTTCAAGATATATATGCACATAAACATTTAAAAGTAAAAATTATATAGTATTATAAAAATTTAACACGTTTATTAATAGTGTCCAATATTTAAAAAAGAATATCTTTTTAAAGGTTATTGTTATTCAAGAAAAACCTAGCTACAAAAAATGTCTATGGCACAAATTTTTACAAGTAAAATTTATCATTATTTATTAGAACACTGAGTTATATGGTTATTTTACTTGTTATTGTAACAAATTAATTATTATAACAATGCAATAAAAATTATTTAATACAAATAATCTTGGCGCGGCTGCACCAAAAACTATATCGAAGATGTATGTACATAAAAGTCAAATTAGATATCATTGACATTTCGTCGATTATAATAAGAATAACATCTTTGAATAAAAAATATCAAAATATGTAGAATATATTCACATTCGATATCTATATTCTATGTGTAGTGAAGGTTTATAATTTAATATAATTTATATATAAACTTAAATAGAACATTACACCGTATATGTATAGAGAGAATTTATAAGTATATTTTGTTATAATAAAAATGCTGTCATGTATGTATTATTTTAGTTCGATATAGTTTTTGGTGCAGCCGCGCCAAGATTATTTGTATTAAATATTTTTTATTGCATTGTTATAATAATTAATTTGTTACAATAACAAGTAAAATAACCATATAACTCAGTGTTCTAATAAATAATGATAAATTTTACTTGTAAAAATTTGTGCCATAGACATTTTTTGTAGCTAGGTTTTTCTTGAATAACAATAACCTTTAAAAAGATATTCTTTTTTAAATATTGGACACTATTAATAAACGTGTTAAATTTTTATAATACTATATAATTTTTACTTTTAAATGCTTATGTGCATATATATCTTGAAAGAAAAATAATTTGATAAGTTTTATTTGTAAAAACTTATGTTATGTACATAATATAAATCGTAAAAAAGGAAATAATTAGAATTTGAGATTTCTAAAATTATTAAGTATACAATAATCACATATATATGTTAGGTTTCTCAATTGGCGCTACTGTTCTAATATATCACTTCTTTTGTACAGTAGAATAGTGTTGTAGAGTTTTATTATAGTTATAAGTTTCACTTGTAAAAACTTATGTTATGTACACATATATGCCTTAAAAAAATATTGGGTGAGTGCAAAAGTTCGTGCGGAGTTTGTGAGTAAAAGTCACACAGTGATTAGGCAAACAAAAATCTTTATTCAATCAATGATGTATTCTCCATCGTTTTCTATAATCTTTTCCCAACGTTCTGGCAGCATACGGATGCCTCGATCATAAAAACTGCGCGGTTTAGATTCGAAGAACGAAGAGACGCCGTTTTTTAAGGCCTCCAAAGAGTCAAAGTTTTTTCCATTTAAATAATTTTGCAATGACCGGAACAAGTGATAGTCAGATGGTGCGATATCAGGAGAATACGGTGAATGCGTTAAGACATCCCATTTCAGGCTTTTCAGTTTGCGCAGCGTCTTTTTCGAAACGTGTGGTCTGGCGTTGTCGTGATGAAAGACGACTCCCTTGCGATTTGACAAAATCGGACGTTTCTCTTTTATTTCTCGATTCAGATTGGTTAATTGGCGACAGTACTTGTCCGAATCAATCGTTTCGCCAGCGGGGAGAAGCTCGAAATAGATTATGCCCTTGCAATCCCACCAAACAGAGAGCATCACCTTCATCGGATGCAAACTGGCCTTTGGCATTGCGTCACCATGCTCACCTGATTGTTTCCATGTCCGTTTGCGCTGAACATCGTTGTAGAGGACCCATTTCTCATCGCCCGTCACTAGTCGATCAAAAAACGACTCGTTATTGAGCCGCCCGAGTAAAGAAACGGCTGCAGAAATTCGCTTGATTTTGTTCTTCTCGGTCAGCAAATGGGGCACCCATATATCGAGCTTCAAATCGAATCCCATCTTTTTTAAACGCCGAAAAGCGGTTGATCGGTCAACGTTTAGTGCTGTAGCAACTTCTTCTGTTGAAATTCGCGGATTATTGAGCACTAAAGTACGCAAAACATCGTCATCAATGTCAGAAGGTCGACCAGAGCGTGGCTCGTCTTCAAGGTTAAATTCTCCGCGCCGAAATTTAGCAAACCATTTTTCCACAGTTCGTTTAGCTGGTGCTTCATCCTGATAAACATCCTGAATGTTTTTTACGGCTGCGGCAACGTTTATTCCCTTCCGAAACTCGTAAAGTATAACATGCCGTAAATGCACCTTATCGATACTCATTTTTAAAGTGATATTTCTCGAAGCAGTTTGTATGAAAACAAATGATTTTTTTTTTAATAACAGCTGAAGACGTCACCTTTCCAACGTTATATAATATGTAGATGGAAGTATTAATGACAACACTTTACGACGCTTATAACTCCATCTATTGAAACTCCGCACGAACTTTTGCACTCACCCAATAATTTGAGTTTAAAATTTCTAAAAATAACACAAAACGTGTTGCGCTTGTACTTGGCGCCTTTTTTTTACCTTTTTATTTAAAAAGATAAGTTTTATATAAATTTTACTTGTAAAAATTGTATATATACCATTAATATGTAAATGTCATTAATTTATACTTGTAAATTATCTTCATCTAATTCGCGTATTACTTGCACTACTTGCGTTATAATTTTTATAACGATATAATTTTTACTTTTAAAAGTTTATGTATATATATTATAAAAACTTATGTTATGTACATAATATATATCTTAAAAAAGAAAATAATTTGAATTTGAGATTTCTAAAAATATTAAGTTAAGTATACAATAATCATATATATATATATGTTAGGTTTCTCAGTTGGTTAGTACACGTTCACAATACTAAAAGTAACATCTGTTGGGAAAGAGAGGAGTAATATTCGCACACCCAATAGAATAAGTATGTCGTCGGTTTCTATCGGTATAATCTTTGGGAAAGCTTATTTGTTCATGAATTGTCAATTGTTTAGTCAGAATGTCCGGTAAATCCAATTTCTTTATATTTGCTGCCGTCAACTTCATGTGGTTCTTCTTCTTTATGTGCTGAAAAATGACTTCGCGACATAATCCTTGTAATGACGGTACTATAAACAGACAGAATAATGTATAAGTAATAAGAAAATGGTCCTTTAATGCCACTTGGCTGATCGACATAATTCCACTGCGACGTACTGGTGTATAACGGAAGCGTGCGAAATTGAATCAGTAACCAATCCATGCGTATATACAAATATACTGGTTTCCCCGGAGATAAAGTAAACTTTTTCACTCGAATAAAATTTTTACTAATGGTGAATCCCAGGCCCATGGAATTGTCCTCTATGTAAAACATGGCTAAACGATCACCCAGCATACATACTTCGCGATACCAATCAGGTTCACAACAATGACAATACGCATTTGGAACATAGTCCCATATGTGTCGACGCAAAATGTTAAGTACATTGAGTATCTGTTCTTTGCAGTGCTCGTCATACCACGAGGCAATGCAACGCGCCAACTCATAAACTGGAACAATAAATGCAAGAATAATAAATTATTATTCAGTCAATGCATGATGCGTTATAAATTCTGGATATGTCTATGTACACACACATTTATTATATCTAATGGTTAATTTAACACTTTAATAAATATTTTCTTATCGAAACATTGTTATACTGTTAAATCAATGATATTAAAATCAAAAAATATATATACGGGGTGTCCCATTTAACCTGACAAATCGTAATATCTGGAAAACTACATGTCGGATCAAAAAAAGTGGGGAATGAAATTTATTCGTCTCGCAGGGGGACATCCAATGATATCAAACTCGACCTCCCACCCCACTCCCGGGGGGTGGGGGTGGGAGGCAACTTTGAAATCTTAAATGGGAACCTCCATTTTTTATTGCAGATTCGGATTCTACGCCACAAAATACGTAAGTTTCGTCCGAAACTTTTTTTTTATTCGTGATAGATGGCGCTGTAATCGCAAAAAATTAGATTTTCTGCAATTCTCCAGAAATGATCATTGGATTGAAAAATAAAAAAATACTTGTTCAAAATTTTTAAAAATATTTTTAAAAAACATAATAACAGTTATTCCCCCTCATCCCCTCGGGGTAGAATGGGTGGTAACGTTCAAATCTCAAATGAGAACCCATATTTTTCATTGCAGAATTAGATTTTACGTGAAGTTTTTATGGAAACATGTTTTATGGAAAATTGTTTCCATAAAAACTTCACGTAATATCTAATTCTGCAATGAAAAATGTGGGTTCTCATTTGAGATTTGAACGTTACCACTTCCCCTATCCCGAGGGAATGGGGGGGAATAACAGTTATTATGTTTTTTAAAAATATTTTCAAAAATATTGAACAGGTATTTTTTTATTTTTCAATCCGATGATCATTTCTGGAGAATTGCAGAAAATCTAATTTTTTGTGATTACAGCGCCATCTATCACGAATAAAAAAAAAAGTTTCGGACGAAACTTACGTATTTTGTGACGTAGAATCCGAATCTGCAATAAAAAATGGAGGTTCCCATTTAAGATTTCAAAGTTGCCCCCCCCCACTCCCACCCCCCGAGAGTGGGATGGGACGTCGAGTTTGATATCATTGGATGTCCCCCTTCGAGACGAACAAATTTCACTACCCACTTTTTTTGATCCGACATGTAGTTTTCCAGATATTACGATTTATCAGGTTAAATGGGACACCCTGTATAATGCTACTGTTGTATAATACACTTTCTTTACACAGTTTTATTGTTTAAAGATACGATAACGTAGATACACAGGGTATTTGTAAAGTCCGACTCCATCCCTGGATCTCGGAAATGAAGCTTCAAAGTTGACACATCGCCGGCATTCGTATTACCTAAGGTGTACCACGTGGAGGTTGCACGGTCGGATTTACGCCTCTTGTGTGTGTGTGTGTGTGTGTGTGTGTGTGTGTGTGTGTCTGTGCGTGTGCGTGTGTGTTACAGTAGAGATAAAGACCCTACGGTTCGTCACTCCCGTAGTATTTTTTGACTCCAAACCCTCTCCGCTGTGTGTGTGCATGAGTTGTGACTCTAAAAAGGACCAATTTTGTGTGTACGTATTTCTTCAGTTGTAGCTTGTAGAGATATTTCTCCTTAAACATTTCAGAATGTAAGGAGAGAATTTCACGATTGTTTGTTTCACTGCATGGAAATTAATGATACTCATTTTGAGCATCTTCTGCAGTAAAGGCAAGAAAATAACTAATGTAAGGGGAAGCAGAAGAAGAATCAAAAAATACTACGGGAGTGACGAACCGTGGGGTCCTTATCTCTACTGTGACACACACACGCACACAGACACACACACATACACGCACACACAAGAGGCGTAAATCCGACCGTGCAACCTTCACGCGGTACACCTGGGTAATGCGAATGCCGGTGGTATGTCAACTTTGAAGCTTCATATCTTAGGAATGGCTTGCGTAAAAAACAAAAATAGGTAATATTTTGAAAACGTCTCGACAAGGGCTACAAGAATATGTAATACAAAATAGGAGGTTCCATTTAAGAAAACATCGATCACATTGACCTGGCCTTGATAAAGTCGCTCAAGATCAAATCTATATTTTTATCATGTGTCCCCCTCAATATTCTACAACTTTTGTCTGAAACATTTTTCCATATTTAAAGCCGTTTCCGAGATCCAGGGATCTTCCGAGATCCAGGGATCGGACTGTACAGATACTCTGTGTGTGTGTGTATATATATATATTTATATATATATATATACATTCCTCAAAAAGTTCGGAAATGCTAAAATATTTCTAAAAATATGAAAGATACGAAGAAATGTTTAATACAAAAGTTGTAGGGCTTAAAAAGATCTAATTAGTAGTCATATCAATTTGACCTTAGGTAGCGTTGCTAAAATTATATGAAGGTCAACTTTGTTTTTTTTTAAATAGAACTCCCTACTTTTTATTGGAAATTCTTGTAGCTTATCTCGAGAGTTTTCCAAAACTCCAAAACAAAACTCCAAAAACTATAATGAAATCATTTTTTATTAAGTTCTTTCCGAGTTATGACGCTTGAAAGTTACAGTACCGCCGGCATTAGCATTATCCAAAGTGTACCACGCGGAAGTTGCACGGTCGGATTTACATCTGGTGTGTGTGTATGTGCGTGTGTGTGTGTGTGTCATTACAGAGATCAGGACCCTACGGTTGGCCACTCCCGCAGTATTTTAAGATTCCAAACCCTCTCCGTAGTGTGTGTGTGTGTGTGTGTGTGTGTGTGTGTGTGTGTGTAGGTAACATTTTTCAAGCTATTGTTTTTTACTTTTTCAATTAATCAAATGTTCAAAATGTCTTTCTTCTACTGTTTGGCAATGAGCTAAACGTTCATAGAAACTATTGATCACATGGCTTATTTGTTCTAAAGTGATCAGAGATGCTTCCTACATTATTCGATTCTTCAGGTCTTCCAAATTACATGGTTTTGTCGCATAAACTTTATTTTTGTTATGTCCCCAAAAAAAGAAGTCAAGAGGAGATAGATCAAGTGATCTAGCAGGCCACTCAGTGGCACCTCTCCTACTTATCCTGTCCATCGATTAGGAAAAGAACGGTTTAAAAATTCTCGAACTCATACCGCAAAATGAGATCCTGCTCCATCTTGCTGGAACCAAACGTTTTGCATGTTTGCGTCAAATAAATTTTTAATTTCAGGAATGATATGATCTCGCAATAAATTTTCATATTTTTCAGCATTTAAATCACTATCTATGAAAAATGAGCCTATAATACCGTGACTATAGATCCCTGTCCAAACATTCAATTTTTGTGGAATTTTATTGTGTGCGAAGATCACCAATGTGGATTTTCATCAATCCAATATCTATAATTGTGACGACTAACAGCACCATTTATTTGAAATGTGGCTTCATCAGAAAAAATAATAAAATTCAAAAAGTTAGCATTATCATCACACCGATGCATCAGTTCTTCACAAAACTGAATTCTTCTATCAAAATCATCTTCCATAAGTTCTTGAGCGATAACAATTTTATACGGATAATATTTATGCTTTTTTAAAATGTTAGAAATGCTGCGTTCACTGATATCATGGGCTTGTGCTGTTTTTGATATAGACAAATGAGGATTTTCCTGAAATGATTGGAGAATATCCAAAGTCTTATCATCATTAGTTGCGGATTTTGGCCTTTCGCTGCGAGATCGGTCCTTAACTGTTCCCGTTTCAAAAAAGCGAGTCACTGTTCTGCAAACGGTGGATTTAGAAATCGGATCGAGATCAGAATGTGTAACATTGAATAGATTAGCTACTTCTTGATATGGTCTAATACGGTCACCAAATCCTCGATAAATAAGTAGCAATATTCTTTCTTTTTCGGTCAACATTTTTCAGAGAAAAATGTGATATTATAATTGGAAAAAGAAACAAAAGAGATGAAGAGTGAAATACGAACGAGTGCAATTCGTTTTTAGAATATGTGGACCGAGAAGCATCTCTGATCGCACCTCCGCGCGGTACACTTTGGGTAATGCTAATACCGGCGGTACTGTAACTTTCAAGCGTCATAACTCGGAAAGAAAATAAAAAATTAATAAAATGACTTAATAAAAAATGACTTTATTATAGTGTTTTGGAAAGTTCTCGAGATAAGCTACAAGAATTTCCAACAAAAAATAGGGAGTTCTATTTAAAAAAACAAAGTTGACCTTCATATGATCCTAGCAATGCTACCTATGGTCAAACTGATATGACAACTAATAGATCTTTTTAGGCCCTACAACTTTTGTATCAAACATTTTTTCGTATCCTTCAAATATTTTTCGAAATATTTTAGCGTTCCCGGACTTTTTGAGGACCCTGTATATATATATATATATATATACGAGAAGTGAAATATAGTGTTTTCCACTGTAAACAATCGGTCCGAATATCTCAAAAACTGAGCCCTATAGATAAAAATGTTTCAAACAAAAGTTGGTTTCAAGGGAGATATAAAATAACTATATTGGTTTGTTTATAGTTGGCGCCAGTTTCGAGATATTCACTGATCATTACTTTTCTTAAATGGAAACCCCAAGTTTTTATTATTGAACCTAACTGTCTTTCTTTACCAATTAATTTGAACAACTTTTGTCTGAAACATTTTTTATTTGGCTAATATTTTTTGAGATATTTAAAGAAGACTCGATAACTTTTTCAATATTTAATTTACGATATCTCGCTAACTATTTGTCGGAAAAAGAATAGTATTTGACTTTTTTACTCTACTTACAAGGGGAGGACGCGTCAACCGGGAATCAACCGGTTTGGAACGAAACTTACGGAGTTAATAGTACTTGACTACTAGTAATTCATGGTAATAGCATTCGATGCCTCTTTGTTTTCGAAAAAAAGCGGTCTACAGGAAAGAGCCAACAAAGCGTATGAGTTAGTAATAAGAGTATACAACGAAGCGGCGTAGCGGAGCAGCGAAGGTAACAGACTATACCCAGCTGACGGCCCGGGTTCGAT